GGGCAGAGCACAGATAGCCCATTGTGTAGCTTGTGCTTATTTACGAACATACAAGCATAGAATATATCATGCGATGATAAAAACATATATGCCCCCCCAGTGGCACAGCGGTATGTCTGCGGACTTAAAACGCTAGAATCTGGGTTTCGATACCCGTGGTGGCCAGAGCACAGATAGCCCATTGTGTAGCTTTGCGCTTAATTACAAACAACCAACAAACAAAACCTATTCCATCGTCATTTAAACTTGTTACTTACAGTGTGGTGTCTCTAGATTAAGATGGCCGACAGGAAACAGGTTTCTAGAAAACCCGATATCTTTGGGTCACGCTGTTTAATTCCGACACAAGCAGTATTTCCAGTTAACATATTCTGTTCTTTAAAATATGTATGCCAAAGCGCCTCTTCAACTACGCCCGTGAATCTGTGTTGAAAATCTACCTGATCGTTTCCGTCATCACTAATCGCGTTTGAAAACAGCCGGAAATCTTTGAAATTAAATTTCTAAACGCTATGTAAAAGCAGTCAGAAAAAGCCGACGTACCGAATTCTGGCATTGAGCGAAAGGCCTTGTCGGCATAGGATATGGTTGAAATGCTGTTTTGTTTCGTTTTTTTATGTCATTTTATTCTAGCCCCAAGGATGGCGGGCAGTGTTGTTATACACTTGCTATACCATGAACCTGTAATGGGCTAATGAAGATTGTTGTGACTGGGCTAATGAAGATTGTTGTGACTGGGCAAATGAAGATTGTTGTGACTGAAATGATTACCAATCTTACTGTTAATGGCTGGAGACGGCTTAAATGGGTAATGAAGAAAAACTTTAATATAAGTTTAACATGACAGCAAATGTACAACGTTTCGACAAGGTTTTGTCATCATCAGGTACTTGATGATGACAAATGTCCTATCAGTTGTTTGTATTTATATATGTATGTGTGCGTTTTGTATATTACGTCATATTAAAAATGACCAATAAGAGACTAATAACTAATAATAAGCCAGTAAGAATTTTGTAATAAGTTAAAGATTACGTGTATTTCTTGATATATATATAAAGCAATTGTCCTGAATTTGATATATATTGTTAGAATACTAAAATAATATAGTTTATGTCATATATATATGAATAATTAAATTATTGGGAAGTCAATAATATTGGGTAATGCCAGAATATCTATTGCTATTTGGCCCGGCATGGCCGCCAGGTGGTTAGGGCGCTCGACTCGCAATCTGAGGGTCGCGGGTTCGGATCCCCGTCCCATCAAATATGTTCGCCCTTTCAGCTGTGGGGGCGTTATAATGTCACGGTCAATCCCACTCTTCGTTGGTAAAAGAGTAGCCCAAGAGTTGGGGGTGGGTGGTGATGACTAGCTGCCTTCCCTCTAGTCTTACACTGCTAAATTAGGGACGGCTAGCGCAGATAGCCCTCGTGTAGCTTTGCGCGAAATTCAAACCAAACCAAATCCACTTACCTAGTTTCTGTCGTCATATTCTCAAAACTAAGTTTGTCATGGACAATTTTATTTAGTAATTAACTGGTAAATCAGTCAGGAAATACGCGTAATAATAACATGCACAAGAAATGTGTAAATAATGTCAAGATTAACCGTTTTCAAGCTATCAAAGTCTTCTGGCATCTGCACTGATACTTACCAGATGCCAGAGTATCCCACCCAGAATGAGTCACATTAAATTGAATCCTCTTGCTGCTTGGTATTATGTATCTTGACGGAAACTCTTTGAAAAGATATCGTGAATAACTTGTGCATAAAACTCGGCTTCCTGTGTAGCAGTGTTTGGGGGGTCTTGAGAGGATGTAAAGAGTGGTAAAATTAGCAATTGTCATCTGGCCAGCTGTATGGAGATCGTTTTTGAGAAATATATTACGTTGTTGTTGTTTTTAGCACGTGTTTTCCTTCCTGTTTGGTCGTTGATCGGTCGACTTTGATAGATAACTATAATGTCAGATTTTACATTCTTTATTTCTGTTTTGAATTGCGTGTGGGAAGTGTTTGTAAAGTATTAATTCTAAGAAGTGTTTTTCACTAAGCCTTTTTTGCTTCTTCATCTTAACTACAAGTGGTAGGTAGTTGAGAAGGAAGCTTTAATCATTTTTTTTATAAACATAAATGCAAATGTTTTCATTAATACTTAATCTCACTTACGGTTGTATATACGAAGTTCGAGAAAAAAGAGTCAGTATGATTAGTTTGAAGTTTCTATGGGAGATTTCTTTCTATTCGGCTTCAGCCGAGAGTATCACCTTACTTAGCGAACACAGCTTTACTGTGTGATTAGTTTATTTTCACTAGCGGAGTTTCAGACTATTTACTCACAATCGAGATACATATTTATCTCGAGAGTTCTAATAATGATTGCAGGATTATTTTTTGTTTTTCTAGTGACTTAACAGGAATAGCATTAATTCTATTTTTGGAATCTCATACAAAAGAAAAAGATTATAAATACGCCTCTGATCACGTGAAAGTTCTATTAGAATAGACGTACTTTGAATTTTGAGATTTCTTACATTTATTAAAAAACGTTTTTTTTTTTTTTCCGCTGTGTTAGTTGGAAGAATTTCTATTTTCAGTTTGTTTGTTTTTTGTTTTGTTTTGACACTTTTCTGCTTGTAACCAAAGACGTGCCAAGTTCGTGCTGTAAATAGAACCACGTGAGCTAAAAGACCAGGTCAAAAACTCTGTTGCTTTCGGGTATAACCGTCCCTAATTTGGACATAATGACCAGAGGTAAGTCAACAGGTCAGCAGCACCCACAGGCAAAAGGATGTTGTCCGGTTCTTTGAACGAATAATGGGATTGACTGTCGTTTTTATAAAGCGATCAAATCTAAAAGTGCGGAATGTCCCGCGACATCACGGCTCGAACCCCGGATCCTCC